AGGGGGGTTGGACTAGATGACCCCCAGAGGTCCCTTCCAACCCCTACCATTCTGTGATTCTGTGATCCCCTGCTGCCAGGGCAAGCACTCCAGTACATTTTCTATGCAGGTATCGTCATCCAACTACACCTCCCACAGAAGGAGTCCCCAGTTTCTCTTTGATGAAAGCTGAGTATTTACCCTTTTATTTTCCTGTTAGCTAGCACCCAGCCCATGAAGCAGTAATGTCTCCCACACCTAGTTAAAAATGCATCCAGAGGAGGACCAGCAATCAAACAAGTCCATCACCAGACAAAGGCTGGACTGAACGTGCAGTAAAACCAACCAAGCGTGCAGTAAGTTTAGAGCGGGTTTCTGAACTAAACCTTCACTCAGCGGCCCATGCTGCACCACCTCCAGCAAGCTGCTTCCCAGAATGCTGTACACCACGACGTGGCTGCAAAAGAATCACGTGTATTTGAAGAAGGGCTGCCAGAAGCTGTTACAGTAAGTTTGAGTACGTAATTTTAATACTGTTTTTTAAATACAGCAAAATAAAAACATTTAAAACAAAGTGCATTTTCAGGCACTGAGCTCAGCCAGTCCCACAGAAATCTCCTTTTATACCCCCATTAACTGCTGAGAGGGTTAGGGGAGGCAATCCAGCTACCACTGACTTCCTCCTCCTCGCTGTGTTCCAGGACACGATAGGCACAGAAACATTTACTGCCCACTACAGAGCCACCGCCAATTACACAGATAGGTTTATTCTAAATAAAGATTTTGTACCAATACCTTTAGGCTTGTGTGGTAATGGTTAGTCACTTGCAGCAGTGACAGGTTGGTTGTTAAGTTGCAATACAAACTCAACATTAATTACTATGTTAAAATACTTTAATCCTGAATGTGAGATCTGAGCGCACTCTTCTCTCGCACACAAAGGCATACAGCAACATGCATAAACAATACCCTTGAACAAAGATACATTTAGCCTATTATCAGAGAGGCTGACACCCTGGAGTTACCTTCTCTGGGTAAAAAATATGTGAGCACATATTCTATGTCTTTCTGTTTATTATTATATATATTTTATATCTTTTACATATGTATATATATACACACATTCTATATGACTGTACATACATTTCTATAACTACTGTGATTGTGGGAGATAATCATTAAGTTACCATGAACTTTGAAAACACATCAATTCTCCTAAGCATCTTCATTTGTGGGATTCATTTTCTTCACTGTGTCCGGAGGTTTTGATATCATG